AAGTTTAATTAGGTCCCATTAGTTTATTATTGCCTTTATTTTCATTACTCTAGGACAAGGGTCTTCAACCCCTGGGCCACGGATAACTGGTCTGTGGCCTATTAGGAACTAGGCCGCACAGCAGGAGGTGAGCAGCAGGCGAGCAAGTGAAGCTTCATCTGTATTTATAGCCGCTCCCCATCACTCGCGTTACTGCCTGAGCTCCTCCTCCTGTCAGATCAGCGGAGGCATTAGATTCTCATAGAAGCGGAAACCCTACTGTGAACTGCACATGCAAGGGATCTAGGCTGTGCACCCCTTATGAGAATCTAATGCCTGATGATCTGAGGTGGAGCTGAGGCGGTGATGCTAGTGCTGGGGAGCGGCTGCAAATACAGATTATCATTAGCAGAGAGACCATAATAAATCAATTGCTTGCAGATTCATCAAAACCCTATCAGTGAGAGGCAAGTGACAATTAAGGTGCATCTGGTGGCAGGCTTTATAGTGGCAAGTGAGTTGATGTACTTCAATTGTACAGCTGCATCTGGTGGCAGTCAGAATCTGACACTTATTTTAGTCCGTGCATAGCCCACCTATTATTTTATTTACCACTTCCATCCATGTCTCTTTCCCACACTGCACACTTTTCTCAGTCACAGTTTTGGTAAGCCCACAAGCTAGCCCTAGCCAAGATGAGTAAAAAACAAACGTTGCTGGAGAGCTTCTTTGAAAGGGGGGAAAGACCCAATGATGAGACAACAGAAGACTCTAAGACTGCCAACAGAAAGAAAGCTTTAACAGGAGGGCTGCTGATGTGTGTTGTGGACACTGATATGCCTTTATTCTAAAATACTTTCATTTTCTACTTTGGTCTTTGTTTCTTTTGGAAGAAAACCATATTTAAGGATTGTGCACTTGCACAAGCTCAAGGATACCTTGAGAATCTCCTTTATATTGATTCTGTTTTGCTGGAAACCATGACTATTGCAGCCAGTAACCACTGAAGGACCAGATGAAGAAACCATCTACAGAACTAGCCTTAAGTCATGTAAGACATAATGATGAACCATGCTGGGTGCATTTGACTTAACTTCTGTAAGAATCAAGGTGCTGGAATCTTCTTAAACATTTAAGGATAAGGACTTAGGTAAATTTCTTTCTGGTGAACCTATTCGTTGTTTGATATATAATTGGGATTCTAGTAAATATTTTAGAGTGTCTTTAATATTTAGATAGTGTGTTAGAGCATACATAATCACCATCATAGGCTCTTTCAGTTATGAAGCTGAATAGTAATGCTGGATACTGTAGAAGTGCACTTTGCTCATTGTAATCCTGGAGTCATTGCAATATTTGATCATCCATTTGACTGTTACAGGAGATTCTTTTCTGGAATAGATCAAGGTTGCCATTACCTACAATTCAACCTCTAGCAGTGAGCCCTTTGTGCTAGACTTTTATATGCTTGAGCTTGTGCAAGTGCACAAGTCTGTTAACCAAAAATTCCAAGAACACAGGGGATATATGTATACATATAGCTGATTCACTTAGTTATAAAGCAGAAACTAACAAAACATTGTAAAGCAATTATACTCCAATAAAGATGTTAAAAAAAAAACTTGTATTTGGGGTTTGTTAGGACTGCACCAGGGGATTCATAGATTCAAGAAAGCACTTGAATTGTGTTCTGATGAACTACAAAATGGGGGAAGCTTAAAAATAGAGCAAGGTTACATGAATTATTTTTCAATAATTAGGATTGGCCTTGGCAAGAAGTAAGAATGCTTGCTAAGCAGGGTTTGGTTGGTGTTGGAAATCATTACATAGTTGTGAAGGGGAGGAACTTTGAAACTACAAGGTTGGGCTAGCAGCTGCTAGCAGGTATTGTTTTGAAAAGGACTGGTGGTGTCCTTGAATTTGATACAGTTCAGAAAGTTCAGGTTCTCAGTGAGGCAGAAAGGTGCCTGAAACCATATCCACAATGGCCACTTGGCTCCATTTTGGAGGCCTGAACCATAGTTACTTCATTTTTATTTTCTAAACGATCATAAATATGTCATCAAGTCCATAAATATAGTATTCTTCCAAAGGAATTAAATTACATGGTTCTATCCAGAGGAACAAAGGTATCCTCACTTATTCCAATCATCTTCTACGACATAAAGTATTAGGATTTAAATATTTACTCCATAGATGTAACGTATTAATATTGCAGTTTTCATTTGAAACTCAAGATCACATAGCTAGCAAGTACGAAGGGCTTTGAATAAAACCCAGAAACATAAGCAAAGACATAGTAGTGGGTGAGAATGTAAGAATATTTGAGAGAAGGGTTCATAAAACAGTAATTGCATAATGTAACTAGTGGATTTTGTCCCATCATTTATATCAATTAGAAGTTGAATGTAGTTAAAAATTTTGTTTGCTTTATTTATAACTAAATTGGCCATTCTCACTTTCACCTACGGTTTTTTGGTAATAGGGTAAAATGAAGTCTATTTAAACATAATCCAAAAAAATTAGCTATAAAATATCTGTTGAAAGCATAATGCAATAAAATAGCACGAGCTTCTTTAAAAATAGAGTAAAATGATGTTCAAACTCACCAAAATTTAAAAACAAAATATTAAACAATCATATAAATTCAAAACATACCTTATTACACCAATGATCATGACATTGTAGGGCAATATACACCTTCTGTAATGCAGTGACAGTACATTTGGTACAGTAATCTAAAGGGGAATATAAAGATACGAATTAAATTCACAATGAACATATTCTTGACACATAATGTTAACTTTTGGTCACTGTAGTACACACACAAACAAAATTCCCACAAGTTGAGGATGATCAAAGCCAAAACATGGATGTTGGGAATTCTGTAACAATAAGATATTAGAAATTTAAAAAATTGAATCCAAAATGGAACATATGCACTTGAAAAGTGCAGTGTTATTATGTAGGTATAAGATATTAAGTAAAAAAGAGCTAGTTACATAATGGTATGTGTATCATGATTCCATTTCTGTTTTTCATTTCTATATAACTAGAAAAATTACAGGTCCACAAAATCATCTCAGAAATTATTTTGGTTGGAATTCAGAATGTGTAAATCATGAAGTGATGATGATATGTGCTTGCCCTGCAAGACAGTAGCCCTGCCTGTGGGGTCAGGACATTACCCAGTAATCACCCATTCCTATTAATATTCATGTTAACTGGATATAGAGTACACTTTAACCTCTTAGATTAAACTCAAAGGGGTATGTCTGCAGAAAATTTTGGATTTTAGAATTGCTCAAAATAACTGTAGAATTGTACTGCAAATACTACCAGTAATAATGGCAAACAAGTTAATACAGATAAATCACTCTCACCATGATTCAAGGGATAGTTCATTTATTCTCCCCAAATTAAGTATTTTGAAATACTAACTGGAAATGTTGAGGATTAAATGAAAATTTTATTAAATTCAAGAATATCATTTATTTCCTGTGCTTTCTGATTTCCTTCCTCATGTATACAAAGGACAGGTAGAAACCCAAAGTATTCTAATAAAGGCCTATCAGTGTCTACAACACACATCAGCAGCCCTCTTGTTAAAGCTGTATGTTCCACAAGCTAGCCCTTACTGGAAAAATTCTTTTAGAGTCTGAAAAAGTAAACTATCACCCCGTGGTCCAACAGATTATAAAAATAATATGTTTGCAATTCCCAGTTAACAGGCCAGGGTTTCTGTAACAGCTGAGTCACATCACCCACGTCTACAAAGGTGGCACATGGAATCCTGGCAGGGAAACGAGGGGGAGGGTGCGGTTGGGTTGCGGTGCCGGAAACTAGAAAAGCGAGGTGAGAAGATTATAGGGGACAGCTCCCAGGGAAGATAGTACAAATTTTCAGACACCGCCGAGTTCAATCCTCTTGAACTTTGCTGCCCCTGAGAAATCGCAGTAGGAGAACGATTATAAGCAGAACTGTAGTTAACCTTAACCGAGCGTTTATACCGTGCTGGACATGGTTCTAACTCAGTGCTGTGGCGAGACACATTGTCCCAGAACTTATAGTTTAGATTGTAATGCCTGGAATCAATGGTGGAATGCTTTGGTTTGAAACTGTACTAAAACTGCTTTTATTGCTAACCACGTGACTTAGCCTCTGGGAAAACTGAGCTTTGCTTGCCAAGCATATTGTGAACAGGAAAGTTCGAGTTCCAGGTGGCCGACCCGAGATGTTAAGATTAGCACGAACATCCTGTTTACCCTGGGGTATAAAACAGCACCTGTGTGAAGGCTCGGGGTCTCACCCTTCTTTTGAGAGAGGCCCCGATCGATCGGTTTGTGTTTCTGTGCTTAATAAACGCCTATTACTAATATACTTTTGATCTACACTGGCTCTTGGTGTTCTTCCTTGGTGCTGGTTCCTCTCCGGGGGAGCTCGCAGGTGTATGCGGGACCGCAACATTTGGGGGCTCGTCCGGGATCGGACAGTGGAGGCTAAAGATCTGAAACAGTGTCCCTCCCTGTCTTTGGAAGCTACGAAGTGGAAGTTAAAGATCTGAAACAGGGTCCCTCCCTTCGACGACCACGCCTGCATCTCCAACGGGTGAATTATCAGACTTGGGTTGCCGGCAACATTTCTAAGACTCATAGGGACTTGCCGGACGCGGCTATAAGTCCGGAGTCAGGGGAGATCACGGGACGCCGTGATCCCCCGCTGGGGTTTCAACGTCGGGTTCGTTATTCTAACTTCCCGACCTCGAACTGGGACCTTCTTTTATCAGGTCACTGGTCTTTCTATTTGTTTTCCTCTACTACTGTGTTCGCTTTTATCTTTGTTTGGATTTTGTGGTTCTCTGTTCTAACTTTTCATCCAACAGTAAGCATGGGTCAAGGTAAGAGTAAGACCCCAACACCCTTGGGACTCGTCCTGAGTCACTTCGGAGACTTTCGGCAGGTCGCCAAGGGCTATGGAAGTCAAGTAAGTCCGGGAAAATTACGTACTTTCTGTGAACTCGAATGGCCTACATTTGGTGTTGGATGGCCATCCGAAGGTACGTTTTCCCTTCCTCCTATTGTAGCCACTGAGGCAATTGTGTTTAAGGTTCATGATGATCAGATTCCATATATCGAAAGTTGGCGAGTTTTGGTGGAGGAGCCACCAACATGGCTAAAACCCTGGCTCCCCCCGCCAAAACTGCACCAAAAACAAAAATAAGATTTGTTCTGCAAAACTTACTAGAGATAAAAAGGGTGATTCAAACGATCCAAAAGGACTTTCAGACCCGCTCATGGAGGCCGAAGAAGAGGAAACCTTTCCTCCTGAAGTTTCCGCACCTCCCCCTCCTTATGTTTCCCCAAATGTAGATTCACTCCGCGGAACGAAACAAAGAGACATCATACTCGCTCAAGGAGACAAATCAAGGAATCAGCCCAAACCATCCTCGCCTTGCGTCAACAGCCTCCCCGACCGGGGGAAGCGCAACCCTTTCTTACATACACGCCATTTTCTACTACTGATCTTTATAATTGGAAATTGCAAAATCCTCCCTTTTCAGAGAAACCACAGGCCTTGATTTCTCTTCTGGAGACAGTTTTTGTTACAACCCACTTGGGATGATTGTCAACAGCTGTTACAGGTTTTAGTTACTACCGAGGAGAGGGAAAAGATTCGGAGGGAAGCCCGAAAACAGGTTTTGGGACCAGACGGGCGACCAACTGAGAATCTAAACCTCATTGAGACTGTCCTCCCGACAACCAGGCCAGACTGGCACCCCAATACAGAGCAGGGGCGGGGGGGGGACAGGCCCTTGCCCGTTTTCGCCAGGCTCTGTTGACAGGACTTCGGGTGGAGGCACGGGAGCCAACTAACATGTCTAAGGTCACTGAAGTTACTCAGGGACAAATGGAGTCCCCATCAGCCTTTTTGGAAACCTACCGATTATGGACTCCTATCGATCCCGAGGTCCCTGAGAATAGACGGGCTGTTAACTTGGCCTTCGTGGCCCAATCCGCCCCAGATATTAGGAAGAAATTACAAAAACTAGATGGATTTGAAGGGAAAAATTTGTCAGAATTGGTGGAAATAGCCTTAAAAATTTATAACAACCAAAATAAGACAATTGAGGCAGGTATCTAAGGTAATGGCAGCAGTCCTAAATGATAGACCTAACAATAGGAAATGGTCAGGCTTCCAACCCAAAAGAGAGAAAAGGACCCCCGGCCCTCGTGTACCTTTAAAGAAAGATCAATGTGCTTATTGCAAGGAAGAAGGCCACTGGAAAAATAAATGCCCAGACTTGGTGACCAAGAAAGAACAGTCACCAGCTGCCCCTAAAATTTTGGAAATAGATTCAGACTGAAGGGGTCAGGGCTCTAACCCCACCCCCACCCCGAGCCCTTGATAAACCTTAAAGTGGGGGGAAAATCCGAGACCTTCCTCATAGACACAGGAGCCACCTTTTCGGTTTTACAAACTGACTCTGGACCAAAATTGCCCGGTACCACCCTTGTACAGGGGGCTACTGGAACCCAGCAATGCTCCTGGACTGCTAACCGCAAGGTGGACTTAGGCAGACAAATAGTCACCCACTCCTTCCTAGTCATGCCTGACTGCCCATATGAAGGCCTCTTGGGACGAGACTTATTGCAGCTGTTAAAAGCCAGTATCAAGTTTGACAAAGGCGGCTTCAAATTTGCTTTCGGACCAGACAGGATACCCACAATTTTAATTACGGTCCCTTTGCAAGAGGAAGGACTGCTATTGGGGCCGGACTGCCCTGAAACTGACCCCCTTATTGCTGAATTAAAACAGGAATTCCCCACAGTATGGGCTGAAAACCATCCCTTTGGGGGAACGGCACATAGAGTGCCTGTGGTCATTGAAGTGAAGGCGGGAGCCTGCCCCATTCAGTTACGGCAGTATCCTATGAATGACCGAGCCAGGGGGGGAATTACCCCTCACATCGAACGGCTCTTGAAGGAAGGAATCCTAGACCCCTGCCATTCCCCATGGAATACCCCCCTTCTCCCTGTGAAGAAACCTAATAGTAATGACTATAGACCTGTTCAAGATTTGCGGGCAGTAAATGACAGGGTGGCTGACATACACCCTACGGTTCCAAATCCATATACGCTTTTAAGCCTACTTCTTCCACAACGCAAAGTGTACTCTGTGCTTGATTTGAAAGATGCCTTCTTTTCCATTCCTTTGGCACCTGTAAGCCAACCGCTATTTGCATTTGAATGGACAAATGAAACGGGACAACCAACCCAATTGACTTGGACTCAACTAACCCAAGGATTTAAAAACTCCCCTACCCTTTTTAGTACGGCTTTACAATGTGATTTACAGCCTTTCCACAACCAATTCCCTGAGGTGACTCTTTTGCAATACGTGGATGATTTACTCATAGCAGGGGAGACATTTAAGAAATGTTTAAAGGGGACAAAAGGACTAATAAAATTGCTACAGGAACTTGGTTATAAAATCTCTACGAGAAAAGCTCAGATTTGCCGAAATCAGGTGACTTATTTGGGGTATATTTTGAAGGACGGACAGAGATGGCTGGGGAAATCACGAACACAGGCCATACTGGCGCTCCCTGAGCCTAAGACCAGGAGAGAACTCAGGGAATTCCTGGGCACAGCCGGATACTGCCGTCTATGGATACCACGCATTGCCGAATTGGCCAAGCCCTTATATGAAGCATTAAAAGGAACCACTATAGAGATTGGACAGAAAAGCGGGCCGCTGCCTTTAGGAACATCAAGGAGGCTTTGACCTCACCCCCAGCCCTAGCACTCCTAAATCCAAATAAACCATTTGAACTTTTCATCGACGAGCGGTCGGGAGTAGCTAGAGGGGTGCTAACCCAAAGACTAGGTCCCTGGCGCAGACCCATAGCATATCTCTCTAAACAGCTGGATCCTGTGGCCTCTGGCTGGCCACCCTGTGTAAGGCAGATAGCTGCCACTGCCTTGCTGGTACGAGATACTAATAAACTGACTATGGGACAGAACTTAAATGTCTTTACTCCTCATGCAGTTGAAACTTTGCTGCGTATCCCACCTAAGCGCTGGCTCTCTAATACTCGAATAGTACAATATCAGGCATTACTCCTGGACCAACACAGGATAACTCTGGAAATTACATCAACATTGAATCCAGCAACTCTCTTGCCGACCACGGTTCAATCATCAGAAGAAAAAGATTTCCAGCCCCACAAATGCTTATCAGCCCTTCAGACCTACACTACCCCGCGATCTGATTTGACTGACATTCCACTCCAAAATCCTCAATTGACTCTTTTCACTGACGGTAGCAGCTTAACAGATGCAGAGACGCGCAAAGCTGGAGCAGCTGTCACTACAATTTCAGAAATTCTTTGGCAACAGTCCCTTCCCGTCGGAACTTCGGCCCAACGGGCGGAACTGATTGCACTTACAAAAGCCTTACAACTGGCAAAAGACAAAACCGCTAACATATACACAGACAGCCGATATGCTTTTGCCACAGCCCATGTACATGGACAGATATACTAGGAGAGGGGCCTCCTGACTGCAGAAGGTAAGACCATTAAAAATAAACAAGAAATATTGAATCTTTTGGCAGCAATATGGGAACCAAAAAGACTTGCTATAATACATTGTCCCGGACATCAAAGAGATGAAACCCCAATAGCCAAAGGAAATAGACTCGCTGACCAGGCAGCCCGACAAGGCAGCCATGGGAACTCCTACTAAGGTCTTAACTCAAAAGCCCAAGCTTACCAATTTACTTCCAGATCCATCGCTGCCTCGGTTTCCTAAATATTCCCCCAAAGATTTGGACTGGATTACAAAAAAAGGGGGGGGTGAATAACGGAGGCAGAAGGGAAGAATTGGATCGAAGATGAATACCAGCGAGTATTCATACCGGAAACTTTGGGAAAAACATTGATTCATCGTCTACATGAAGGGACCCACCTGGGTTCCACCAAATTATATGAATTAATAAAACAACATTTTCGAATAGCAGGACTAAAGGAGAAGATACAACAGATTACAAGAAGATGCGTGACTTGTGCTCAAGTGAACCAAGGAGCCAACATCTCACACCAGGATTTGAAGAGGTACCGGGGAAATGAGGTTGCCCGATTTTGGAAGATGGACTTTACAGAAATTAAGCCGGGAAAATATGGATATAAATATTTACTTACTGCCATAGACACTTTTTCTGGATGGGTGGAAGCCTGGCCGGTAAAACAAGAGACAGCCTCAATAGTAGTAAGGAAATTGTTGCAGGAAATTTTACCAAGGTTTGGACTGCCGCTTCAGGTAGGGACAGATAATGGACCAGCGTTTACAGCGCAGGTCACACAGGGAGTTAGTAAGGCCCTGGGGATAAGATGGAAATTACACTGCGCTTATAGGCCCCAGAGCTCAGGACAGATAGCAAGAATGAATAGGACTTTGAAGGAGACATTGACAAAATTAATTACAGAGACCGGCCAAAATTGGGTAGATGTCCTCCCCCTGGCCCTCTTGAGGGTCCGATGCACCCCTTATATGAAGGGATTCTCCCCTTTTGAAATTATGTTTGGTGTTCCTCCTCCTCTTCTGCCTAGGATTAGGGAAGAGCTCCATCTGCTGGCAGAGAGGGAAAATTTAATCACTTCTCTTCTAGCTTTGCAACGGTTTCAAGACTTTATTAAACCTTTGTTAAAAGATGCTTTTACATCACCCCCTGCTGTACCCCATGCCTTACAGCCTGGAGACTTGGTCTGGGTGAAAAAAACATAACCCCCAGACGCTGGAGACCAAGTGGACAGGACCTCACCTCATTGTGCTGACCACCCCGACCGCAGTCAAGGTTGACGGCGTGCGGACTTGGATCCATTACAGCAGGATAAAGAAGGACCACACAGCGGGAGAGCCAGAAGGAGAACCTCCAACATGGAAAGCCCAGGCTCATCCGCAGGATCCATTGAAGCTGCGCATTATTCGCAAGTCTTGTTAATATGGGGACTATTGAAAATTTGGGGGGGAGGACCAAATGGAGGAGGAATCATATTGTTAGCAGAAGGGTACCCTTATGTCTGGGAATTGAGAGATGGAATTACGGGCCTCACTATAACTAAAAATGAAACCTCTTCAACTCGGCCCTGTTTGAGGTTCGATCTTTGTGCTGTCGGGAACAGTCTTAGAGGTTATGGCCACAAAGGCTACGGAAGATTTGGAAGTCAACCCCATGGCTGTGACAGCGCTGAGGTAACCAAAGCCCTTAGAAATACCCAATGGTACGCTTGCCCCAGGGAGGGAAGCCCAGAATGTGCCCTGGAGGAAGAATACTATTGTGGAGCATGGGGCTGTGAAACTTTGGCCCCATGGGTAACTAATAAGGACCCCGTTGATCACCTTATGGCGGGTTCAAAGTACCACCTGCAAAAACCCAAGGGAATGTAATCCTTTGGAGTTGTGTATTAAAGAAGCAAGCTCTGAGGTATGGACAACGGGGCAAACTTGGGGAATAAGATTATATATATATGGTCCAGACCCTGGGGCTTTATTCACACTCCAACGAGTACAAAAGCCCCGAACACTAAATCCCATAGGACCAAACAGAAATCAATACCGACCTCAGGCACCCATTTTCAATCCGGTCACAGCCCTGAGTTCCCCCAACGAGGAGGCTAAACTGCCTCCTCCTACCCAAAGTACCCTTCTGCAGGAATCACCTTAGGACACCCTCCTTAAACAAGTAGAAGAAGTACATGTCCTCATAAACAAAACTGATCCTTCACTGGCTGAGGACTGCTGGCTTTGTTACAAACCACAGCCTCCCTATTATGTGGGGCTAGCAATTCGGGCTTCAATAGGACAAAATGAAACTCACATCCGCAACACAACGGATGCAAGAGGGTGCTCTTGGGAAGACCCCCATGTAACTTTGGGAGATGTAAAGGGAAATGGAACATGTGTAATTCGTGAAGGGTTTAACGTGACCCTAACACCCTACCATGATATTTGTAATCATACTATAAGCATTCCCAGTGCGCCGGGTTTTGAATATATATTGCGCTCCCCCCGGGGAACTTGGTTTGCTTGTATGAAAGACATCACCCCTTGTGTAAGCTCTACTAAATATAGTAGCATCTGTATTTTAGTTCATATTTTACCCCAGATTTATCTATTCCAAGGGACTGAAGGAAGAGCCCACCTGCTAGGGTCCCGAAGATCTCATCGTGCGGTACCTATTCTGATTCCCCTGTTGGTAGGACTAGGTTTTGCCGGATTCGCGGCTATAGGAACCGCGGGACTCATCACTAGCCACCAAACTTTGAGGAATTTAGAGGTTTTGATAGATGCTGACTTACGACATCTTACTGCATCTATTACAACCCTACAGGATCAGGTGGACTCCTTGGCCGAGATGGTATTACAAAATAGAAGGGGACGAGATTTACTGTTTTTAAAAGAGCGTGGGTTATGTGCAGCTGCTCTAGGAGAAACATGCTGCTTCTATGCTAATAAGTCGGGAGTAGTGCGAGACTCCCTTGCTCTTGTGAGGAAGAATATCGAAGAAAGAGAAAAGAATCGACAGGCCTCTGAGCCTTGGTACCAAAGAATGTATACCTGGTCTCCCTGGATGACTACTCTTCTCTCAGCTTTAGCAGGACCAGTAATCCTTTTATTCCTGGGACTTTTAGTTGGGCCCTGTATACTTAATGCTTTAGTTAAGTTTGTTAAGCAAAAAATTAGTGAAATAAAAATCTTAGCTTTAAGAAGGACATATGCTCATTTAGATACCGATGAAACAGAATTCAGGATTTGATTGATTTACAAGAAAAGGGGGGAATGTGGCGAGACACATTGTCCCAGAACTTATAGTTTAGATTGTAATGCCTGGAATCAATGGTGGAATGCTTTGGTTTGAAACTGTTTGTACTAAAACTGCTTTTATTGCTAACCGCGTGACTTACTTAGCCTCTGGGAAAACTGAGCTTTGCTTGCCAAGCATATTGTGAACAGGAAAGTTCTGAGTTCCAGGTGGCCGACCCGAGATGTTAAGATTAGCACGAACATCCTGTTTACCCTGGGGTATAAAACAGCACCTGTGTGAAGGCTCGGGGTCTCACCCTTCTTTTGGGAGAGGCCCCGATCGATCCGTTTGTGTTTCTGTGCTTAATAAACGCCTATTACTAATATACTTTTGGGGAGACGCAAGAGGGAAGACATATGGGAACATATGTATAACTGATTCACTTTGTTACAAAGCAGAAACTAACACACCATTGTAAAGCAATTATACCCCAATAAAGATGTTAAAAATAATAATAAATTAAAAAAAAAGATTGTACTAATATACTTTTGATCTACACTGGCTCTTGGTGTTCTTCCTTGGTGCTGGTTCCTCTCCGGGGGAGTTCGCAGGTGTGTGCGGGACCGCAACAGTGCCTCATGTCAGCCCCGCACGCGCCGTATACTCTAGTTGAATTCCCCTTTTCTTCAGCGAGGTAAGGCGCCTGGCGCCTTGGAAAGTCCCCAAGAAACTCTGAGAAACTAGCGGTCAGCGGCCGAGAGACTTCGGGGTTGGAGGAAGGAACGGTGCTGCAGCCTACTGGACACCCACTGGGTGCAAATTCGCGTTGTGTCCGGAAAACGGCGGCCGGTTTCGCTCCTAGCGAAAACGCCAACGGAGCGCCAGACGGGCGCGAATCACGGTGCCGCGACGCTGAACCGGCTGGCCACGAACGGAGCGGTGCTAGGACCGAGAAGGCGACGGCACATAGGACCCAGGCCCACGCGAGGGAGAAGAGTTCCCTTTGGCGCCTTGAGGGTGGCGGCCAAAGTGAAAGCGCCCGCTCGACGCTGCTGGCGAAAGTGCGACTGAGAAAACGCGGACTGGGCGGCAGGAGCCGGGCCCCGCGCAGCACCCGCGGCGCGCGGAACGGGGCGCTAGCGCGGCCGAGACCCAGCGGCGCTCCTCCGCTCCCGGGCGCAGGCGGCCCAGGGAGCTGCCGCTGAGCGCAGACACACTCAGGAACTCGGTAGAAAACTACATGTAAATTAAAATACTACAAATGCATAAGAAATCCTAAAATGAAGATACATGTGAAAACAAAACAACAGAGCAAAACACACCGGAAAAGAATTTTTACAAGCCAACCGTTCAGAGAAACTAGCCCTACGAGAAACAAACAGCAAAACACCGTTGAAAGGGGCAGTCCTAGGATTAGATGATCGCTGTCACTCTCGCTAAATCGGTGTTTGCCACGCTCCAAAGCGCATTCCCGGGCACACTCCGACTAGCATGAGTGAAATGTGCAGCATAGCTAATGCGGAACTCGCTATGTGAAAATGGCTCAAAGCAATTGCGTTGCTGCCAGCCACCCGCTGCGAGGGATGGGGAAGGCCGCGGGGCTGCGACCCTGAGAAAGCTCCGGCTGCACTCTAGTGGAAACTACTTCTGAGAAAACGCCGGCCTAGTGCACTTGCCGGGACCGCGACCGACCAAACACTGACACAGAGCGCCTAAGGGTGCCGGGACACAGCAAGGGAGGCACAGCGCAGATAGCGGCGTTGTGGCCAAAGTCAAATGTCCGTTTTGGCGCTTTCGAGGGTGCTGCCACCTAGAAACTGCGGACACTGAGAACTGAGCCGTGCTCACACCGAGAAAGATGGGAGTTGCAGGTGATAAGATGAGGTGAATGAAGTGGGGTGAAATGAAATAAAATAGAAACCAGGTTTGAAACCCCCCCCCCCAGCAAACAAACCCGAATAAGCCACGTAAACAAAACTAAATCGAGTTTATTTCAAAACATAAGGGTAATTTAACTCAAGCTATTTCTTGTAAATACCTTTGAAAATCATTTAAAAACAAAAACAAAAAACCCTTGTCTTCCTGTAACGGAAAAAGATAATCACTTTAACCAATCCCCTGCCCTCTGGAAACCTCCATTGTATTTAATAGCCAATCATTGTAAAGGTCAAACAACTTCCTCTTGTTTATTTTATAAGCTTCCCGGAGATGTCAAGCCTTTGAGCTTCATACGAGTTTTCAGTTTGAAATCTTCATTTTTGCGAACAGTTTGTTTCTTCCTCAATATCCAGTAAAACTCTGAGTTTTCTTTTAACAATTATTGTCGTTAAAAGTAGGATGGAAAGACGACCCATTAAGAATCCAAAGGCTGGTGAGTAACTGATGCTGGAACCCATTGTGCTCACTGATTTGTGACTGATCTGGGAACCCAGCTCTATTCCCTTTGTGTTGTGCCCTCCAGTTCTGTTGAGGGACCTTTATGGAAGCTTCTTGGTAAGTCACCCTGCTCTGTTCAAAAGGGGGAAAACTCGTGATTCCATGTTTTTTGAACCGCTGTTGAAAAACGGGCAGAGTTAAGTTGCCTTAGGGAATCTAAAGGCAAAGATGGGTTCTACTTGGTCCAAAACGGGAAATACAATCTTGAGCCTTTTGGGAAAATGGGTGAACTATCGGATGATTAAATTTAAACATAAAACTCTCTCTCTCCCTTCCTGCACCCCTTTCGGCCTCCTTCTTCCCTCCCTAATGTGCATCTGTATCACACATCAACCAGACCTCCTCAAAGACAGTAATGCCTGCTCCACAGCAAAGTTTTTTTTTCTTTTCCTGACGCTAGCAATGCAACTTCTTAAAGATTATCATTCTTTCACAACTCTATAGGGGGTCATAGTGACATACTGCTTGCTTTGTATGTGTTTACCTGGACAATGTATTTTTGGTGAACTTTATGTGAAATGTCAGCATGTCATTTGGTTGTAGGATCCTTTGTCTCAAAAATGTATATGACTGTGCCTTCTACTAACAGGAGGAACAGTTCTCAGAGCTTCTCAGCTTCTGTCTCCTGCGTTATAATCCCCAGTTTGACTTGAATTAAAATTCTCTTTTGCTTCTTATCTTCATTGTTAATTGAATTTCTGTAAATTTGCTTGGCATAGTTGGCAGGATATCAGAGACATCCACCAGTGGAAACCTGGAGTCTACCCCGAACCGGTGCTTGGTACCAGCCCCGGCCCTTTGAGCCCCACAGGCTTCTAGGTATTCCTCAGGTGCTTTGGTGAGTTCTCCTGATGTCCGGACATCACTGCTTTAAATGACATCCTAAATTTTACTCAAGCTATTTTTCTTGGGACTTGGAGTCCCAGGGATGTACTGACATTTCCTAGGCAAGGACCTAGGGGGAGTTTTAGAGTGAACTGGCTTGGCTGGCTTTTTAAGCTTTTGGCTTAAGTTGGAAATATTGTGTATATGTGGTGTATATGTGTATATGGTGTATATGTTGTATATATGTTTGCTAGTGAAATGAGAGACTTAGCCTGCAGCTCAAAAGAAAAGGGACCCTTGCTCCTGCGGCCACAAGGCATTCTCAGGCAACTGGGAACCCAGCAGAAGTGTCTGAGGGTCAATCCTTATGACTAGCAGTGGTCCCACAGGGGATCCCACTACAACCATTAAGTAAATTCTGCTCATGGGGATGCACAATAATTATGGCTGATCACCCAGTGCTCCAAGCACTCACGGTAGTTTTAGACTGTCAGAGGGAGAAACCGAGACACACAGAAGAGTGGAACCGACTCCAGGGTAACTCCTTGGGGAGCTAGGCTCAGAAGCAGCACACATGGCATTCATCACACTGCCCTGAGAAATTTGTTCAGATCATATCTAAATTAGACTACCAAATTAGTAATGGGAAAACATGCTTCAAAGGCTCTACAGCTCCCTGATGGACAGCCAGGCACTGGAACTCCAGCTGGCTTCATGTACAATTGGAACGAAGCCAACACTTGTAAGCATGATCTTAACTCTTAAATGGCCAGGATAGAGCTCTTCTGACATTCCAAAACTGTTTTTTTCATAAGCAGAGAAAGCCAGCTTGATAAAACATGTTTCCAAAATTCTGACTCAGAGAATAAAAGTATTTCTAGGGGAAAGCTTGGATTTATAATACTTATCATGCCCTTGAAATTTAAACACAGTGCTCATCGCCTGAGACTACAGCTCTGGCTAAATTAGAACTTAAAACTGAGGGAATAAAAGGGAAAAGAAACCTTTTTAAACTCAAGCAGGAAAACTATGAGATCTCTGTGTCTTTCTGGATATTCATATGTCTGTGTGTATGTTATATATATAATATGTGTCTACCTTCGGATGGTGTTATCGAAATTAATTTGTTAAAGAGCTGACTTAAAAATAAGCACTTACAAATCAAATATTTCTAAATATAACATAAACTAGCCCAAAATTTTTAAAGAATCACATGATCTAGGATTTTTAATGAATAAAAATAAGATTAAGTTGATGGTTTAATTGATATAGGCATGTACTTAGTGCATGGGCTTCTCATAGTGATGGCTTCTTTGTTGCAGAGCATGGGCTCTAAGTGCACAGGCTTCAGTAGTTGTGGCATGTGGGCTCAGTAGTTGTGGCTCACAGGCTCTAGAGCACAGGCGCAGCAGTTGTGGCACACGAGCTTAGCTGCTCCACGGCATGTGGGGTCTTCCTGGACCAGGGCTCGAACCTGCGTCTGCTGCACTGGCAGGCAGATTCTTAACCACTGCGCCACCAGGGAAGTCCCTGTTAATATGTTTTTATTCCTATGTTTTCTATTAAAAATTTAATAACACTTCCAAGACAAAAAATTACAAGTTTATGCTTTGAAAAATTTATGTAATTAAAATTTCACTAAACTAATCTTTCTAGTTTAGGAGTTATTTGGGTTTTCACACTGGAGTTGCTCCAGTAAGCATCAGAAGTGTAAGATGCTTAAAACTGCTACACTACTTGATTGGTTGGGGGTTTGGGTTTGAGGGTTCTTTGGTTTTATTAAAAAAATTTGTTTCCAAATTTAAAAGCATTAAATGTACTGTAAGCCTCCGATCGTTGTACAGGTGAATTGCGGTTGGTTGCCAGTTTGTGTACTGTTGCTTGGATGCAGCACAGCCATTGGTGATGGAATGAAGGATGCATGGATCAGAAAAAAAATTTTAATAAAAGAAATTTTTAAAAAGGAACCCTGAAAAAAGAGTTTTATGCATGGTCAAGAAAGACTAAGAATAGACTGAATTTAATCAAGTGAATGAATTTTGATAGTAAAGTTGTACAAAACTAGAAATTGTTTCTTACTGTGTTAAGAGAAAAAAGTTTTCTTGAAATATTGATCTCTTTTGATAAATAGCTTGTAAAGTTTCTTTACTAACTCTTAAGCAATCTGTTGTAACTTTCTGCATTTGCCTTTGAAATTTTTTATTGTCACTTTGGTTAAATGACTATTGTTTCACAGCGACTATGATCCTACTTAGCCAAACGTTTAAAACCTTTTGGTTTTTTTTTTTGTTTGTTTTTTACCTTTTGGTTTTTTAAGGAACCTCCATACTGTTCTCCATAGTGGCTGTACCAATTCACATTCCCACCAGCAGTGCAAGAGTGTTGCCTTTTCTCCACACCCTCTCCAGCATTTATTGTTTCTAGATTTTTTGATGATGGCCATTCTGACTGGTGTGAGATGATATCTCATTGTAGTTTTGATTTGCATTTCTCTAATGATTAATGATGTTGAGCATTCTTTCATGTGTTTGTTGGCAGTCTGTATATTTTCTTTGGAGAAATGTCTATTTAGGTCTTCTGCCCATTTTTGGATTGGGTTGTTTGTATTTTTGATACTGAGCCCCATGAGCTGCTTGTATGTTTTGGAGATTAATCCTTTGTCAGTTGCTTCATTTGCAAATATTTTCTCCCATTCTGAGGGTTGTCTTTTGGTCTTGTTTATGGTTTCCTTTGCTGTGCAAAAGCTTTGAAGTTTCATTAGGTCCCATTTGTTTATTTTTGTTTTTATTTCCATTTCTCTAGGAGGTGGGTCAAAAAGGATCTTGCTGTGAAAACTACAAATAGAACTACCATATGACCCAGCAATCCCACTACTGGGCGTATACCCTGAGAAAACCATAATTCAAAAAGAGTCATGTACCACAATGTTCATTGCAGCTCTGTTTACAATAGCCAGGAGATGGAAACAACCTAAGTGTCCATCGTCGGATGAATGGATAAAGAAGATGTGGCACATATATACAATGGAATATTACTCACCCATAAAAAGAAACGAAATTGAGCTAATTGTAATGAGTAGATGGACCTAGAGTCTGTCATACAGAGTGAAGTAAGTCAGAAAGAGAAAGACAAATACCGTATGCTAAACCATATATATGGAATTTAAGGGAAAAAAATGTCATGAAGAACCTAGGGGTAAGACAGGAATAGACACAGACCTACTAGAGAATGGACTTGAGGATATGAGGAGGGGGAAGGGTAAGCTGTGACAAAGTGAGAGAGTGGCATGGACATATATACACTACCAAACGTAAAATAGGTAGCTAGTGGGAAGCAGCCGCATAGCACAGGGAGATCAGCTCCGTGCTCTGTGACCACCCAGAGGGGTGGGATAGGGAGGGTGGGAGGGAGGGAGACGCAAGAGGGAAGATATATAGGAACATATGTATATGTATAACTGATTCACTTTGCTATACAGCAGAAACTAACACACCATTGTAAAGCAATTATACTCCAATAAAGATGTAAAAAAAAAAAAAACCTTTTGGTGTCTTTGACAAACTTCCTCAAATCAAATTCTAAATGTTCTTTTGACCTCTAGTTAACTTCGGAATGTTTCAGAGGGTCCCTGAACACCTCAAAGAGAGATATTAAACTAATTAGCCTTTTTTGGTATGTTAAATTACATGGGAAATATTGTCAAATAAGTAATGATAAACCTTCTTAGAAGGTTCTAATGTTCTAGAAATTATATGAACTCCCTAAAATTTGAAATGTTGTGGTATGTTCTCAGTCATATTTCTAGTTATTATTTTAAAGTGTTGTATGTCACAGAAATAGCCCAATTTCCTTAACAACTGCATTGTAATCAGGTCTTTAACCATGTTTTTTAAGTGTTTTGTCACTTATAGAGTTGTCTTACTCTGATGCTTTTACAAAAATGTTTGTAGATGACTTGCTTTTATGCTCTAAAACTAAATTTGATTCTGTAGCAAAAGGACTTCCACCTTGTATGGGGGCTGTTTCACTCTTACATAAGACTATTGAAGAAATAGCAATGGGGGTATTGTTTATTTATGCTCCACACTCAGTTGAGTCCTTCTAAACTCTCACCACACTCAGCACTTCTGTAAACCGACTAGTTTCTTATGAAGTATTGTTGCTTTCTGTAATAACCTTAAGCCTGCAACTTTGCTTCCAGAACTACAGGAAGAAGACGATCACGACTGCATTTTATTAACAGATTATCTTCTTGTTCCCAGGAATGACAAGAAGCTCCTATTGATAAGGCTAATCTAATTTGATTTACAGATGGGTTCTACTTAAAGGATAAGCAGGGGCATTATAGAGTTGGATATGCAATAACATTCACAGTGAACATAAGTGAAAGCTCTTATTTACCAGAAAAAGTCAGCACAACAAGCTGAATTAATTGCCCTAACCTTAGCTTTTCAACTTGCAAAAACCAGCTAGCAAATATTTATACTGACAGTTGCAATGCCTTCTGGAGTGGCACACAACTTTGGAATGCTATGGGAACAATGAGGTTTTTAACCTCTTCAGGACAACCTAAAAAATGAAAAACAGATTGCAATTATTAACTGCTATACAACTGCCAAAAAACCAGTTAGCAATTATTGACACCAGGACATTCCAAACCGACACTATGGAAGCTAAAGGAAATCAGCTTGCTGATGCTGCAGCCAAACACGCAGCTTTAAATACTCACACCATAAAGCCTTGAAATTTTCTGTCCACTGCTCTCTGTTAACTGTGCTAATCCAGTAAAAGATGTCATCTATAAGCTCAAGAAATTGCTACTAAAGAAGACAAACAGATACGGTAACAAAAACGGGGAATTTTGACCCCACCACACAAATATGGTTTGGACCTTATTTTTTTAAAAAAAGCTGTAAGCGTCTGTTGGAGCACGATTGTCTATCAGCCTTTGCCAGGCATTCTACTAGCATAACTCCTAAAAAGGAAAGAAAGAACTGGGGTAATAAGACTGAGGGACATGATGGATCCAGAGCAAATAAGCAAAGACCCTGTTATTGGGGGAACAAATATTTGATCACCTAATGCTATCTAAAGATTAATGATCAAAAGGGGAAAGTGAAAAAGGAAATTATATTTTAAGACAGGTAAAGAAAAGTTAAGCATAAAATTCTCTCTTCTCTCTTCACTTGAGCCTCCTCCCTCCCTAATGCATCTGCATCAAATATTAACCAGACCTCCTCAAAGATGGGAATGCCTGCTGCTCCACAGCAAAGATCAATTTGTTCCTTTCTTCCGATGCTAGCAATGTGACTTCTTAAAGATAAGCATTCTTTCCAACTCTGTAGGTGGTCATTGAGACTTACTGCTCAATTCGTTTGTGTTTACCTAGACTGTGTATCTTTGGTAGACTTTATGTAAAACGTCAGTATGTCATTTTGATGAAGGATTCTTGGTTTCAAAAATGTAAATGATTGTGTCTTTGCTAACAGTAGGACCAGTTATCAGAGCTTCAGACAGCCTGTCTCCCACGTTATGATCCTCAGTTTGACTCAAATAAAATTGCCTTTTTTCTTCTTAACTTGTTAACTGAATTTTCATCAACAATTGTAATTACTGTGGCCACTTCGGGGAACTTTTACATGAGACCACTTTCAGGGTTCCCAGAAAAACAGAGAGAATCCCAGAAACTCTGGAGGCAATAGAATTCATTCTTTCATTTGTATGCAGAAGCTACTAAAAGACAAAATGATTCCATAAATAGCTTCACTAAAAGAATCTTTATAATGGAAAAAAAAACAGTAGAAAGCTTTAGCCATCTAAACGGGTAACATTAACTTAATCTATCTCCCAGCATCACAGTTTTGAATCAGCTAATCTTTTGAGTTTTGTATTATTGCACCTGACACATAGTTAAAAATTTAAAATAAAATCTACAATATCTACAAATCTACAATCTGTGTATGTCTATTTGTGTAAATCTGTTACTGTGTATCTAAAGGTTTATGTATATGTAAGTATGTATGTTATGTATGTGTGATATGTTTAAAGATCTCTAATTGGCAAAAGAAAAATAATTATATAAATTATGTCATGAACTCTCAGAATTATAGAAACTAACCCAAAAGGTTTTTCAAATTCATATGTCCTGGAATAATCTTTGGTAAATATAGGCTACTTTAAGTTTTTAGGTTTCAATAAAATGCCCATGTCTTCAGAATTGTAAAGATTACTATAAAACTTTATCTACATGAGCTTACTGGTCAAATAAGCTCATGCTATCTCTATCTAACAGAATTTGTCAGCAAGAAAAATAACCTAAGATGACAGTTAAATGTCTAATATCAAATCCAAACATATACATAATACACAGCAATGTAAGTAGCTATAAGTAACATAAATGTTTATACAAAGTTAAATGATGGATGTTCCTTGAATATCTAAATCATTTCCAAATAAGCTAATATACTGAAAATTAATTACTTAAAGGTGTACATAAAACAATATAAAAATTTAAAACTTCAGTACCTTTAATGAAGAATGATAAATGAATGTACAATCCACCATGCTTCAAAATAACTAGAGCCAACCAAACCGTTTAGGCCGCCTAAGCAAAATGAAATCTACGTTATCTCATAAACATACGCAACACTTGAATTTATGTTATTTCTTGAAAATGCCTCTGATAGTAATTAAAAAATGTCATTCTTTGGAAATGGAACAAGGTAATCACTTATAATCAAACTGTGCAGTCTGGACAGCCCCAAAGTAATTACCAAAATTTCAAAGGTTAAAAAAAGGTTCTTATTTTCACCGTAATCACATCTAGGCAGACGCGTTCTGTGAAAGAAAACCCTCGGGCTCAGAACAACCGCGGAAAGTGCCAACGGGAACAGGGTCTCCGTGCCACCCCCAAGGGATACGACTATGAGATAGGCGTGGGAGGGCGGGGCTGCGGCGATGCTAGGACCCAGTTAGCTCCAGGCCGAATTTAGGGATTCTGCAGCGGAGAGCTTCGCCACGCCCCGCACTCCGATGGAACTAGAGGGTGAGAAACCGGCGATTTCGGTGCAGCTTACCGCTTTTGCCAAGGAAAACACCCGGGGCTGCTCAAGTAGCTGTGCTGCCGGCGAGAAAGAGTCAACCCGCCTGCGGCCCAGAAACACGACCGGGTTTGGCGCGCTCCTTCGGAAACACTTCCGGATGGACGGGGAAACCGCCCTCCCGGTGCACTAATCAGAGGCTCGACCCAGAAAACAGTCCCCGGACACTTAAAAGTACCGGGAAGGAGCGAGCGCCCGCAGGAGGCGACTACCGCTGTTGGCAGCCGGCGAGCAATCTCCGGCTCCGCAACACGGGCGGTACTGCCACGGGCAAACGACCAGCTGGGCGAAATAGCGGATATATCAGTATTTTTTTTCCCTACGCTCGCTGTCCAACAAGCAAGTTGCAAGTGCTAAGCGACCAGAACTGCAACGAGAAACTCAAGGGGAAAGAGAAGCAAATATTGATAACGAACTCGGAAGTTAGGTCTTACTGCATTTTTATTCCATGCAAGAGGGCAGGTTTTGTAACCCAGAATCTTTTCAGGCAAGTGCCCAAAACTCCGGCTGCAATCTCAGGGTTCCTAGGCGCCGAAGATGGACCTGCAGCAGCCGCAGCTCAAGGTGCGCAGGGTGCGACCAAACCGCTCCAAGCAGCCCGAGAGGAGACGCTCGTGGCTCCACCAAGCGGGGACCGGAGGAGGGCGGCTCTCAGAAGGGGGCCCGCTGTCAGAAGTCTCGATGTCCTGCTGTCTGTCGCCGCCGGGTCTGGCAGGCCTGGCCAAGGGAAGCTGCTGGAGCACGGGGCCGTCGAGTTCCTCGGCCGGGTCCCTCTC